TTCTGGACTTCAAAAATACTTTTTCGACTTTAGGACAAATAAAAGAAAGATCGAAGTTTTATATTATCACTTTGAAGTTATGGCTGACGGAGTTTGATTATGGGACCACCTACAGCAGCATATGTAAATAAATATGAAATTTAATAAAATAAAAAGATAAAGAAAATGTAAAAGAAAACAAAAAAAGGTATATTGTTTTGCTTATTGATATTTTCTGTCCAAAAGTAGTTGGTTACAAGTTAGTTGACATCTAATGCAGAGGTAACCACTCTTGATTAAATCTAGTGCAGATGACTGCTTCGCGGCTATCGCCATAGAAAAATAGTTAGCTTTCCTCAAGGAAAGTATACAGATAATATTTAGTGACCTTTAGTTCCTTCCTAATCAACTTCAAGTTAACTCATAGTTAGATAGATTTCAGGCAGGGTAAATACATAGGTATGTATGTATGTATGAGTATGCATATCTATGTATGTGCCATAACATGTACATATATAAATATGTACGTACATATGCATGTATATAAATTCATTTGCCTTTTGTTTTTCGCTTCATTTATTTATTTCTTCACATCGTTTTTGCATACACATGTATGTATGTATGTATGTGCCTCCTTAAGTATACCACAACATTGCGGTGCCGAAGTTTTATTCACAGACTACTACTGCCTGTTCGTTTTTGGGGCTTTTAAGTTGTGGATGTTTCCTTGGATTTTCGCTTTTGGTCTTCCTTTCACATGCACTTTTCTATCTTTCGAATCAGCTCTTAAAGTTTTTAATGTTGTTGTGATTCTTATTTGGTTTGTAGCTTCTACTAAGTGCCTCTAAGTCAGTTAACTTTGTATGTAGAAAAGTGTCACTCTGTCATTTCATTGCATCAGTCTGTATGCTATTTTTTCTAGTCGGAGCGAGTATTATGTTAGAATTTGGGTGGTGTGCTCTGTGTTAATGCCCTCGTAAATGCATCGTAAAAGTCAAATGCACTTGCACTAAGAATCAGCCAAAATGCATTACTCAAAGCGGCTAAAACGTAAATTTCTTGAAATAAAAGTATTTAAATACAAGCGACACACTTGTAATGCGCATTCTATTTTTATTAAATGTCAGCTACTAAGTCTTCAGCTCATTAAAACCGATTGAATGTCGATGAATGAAAAATAACCATTATTACGCTGAACTTCAAAGCTTTACTTGGAAGGGCAGTGTAAACTTACTTGCACTCTTACTGCCTCTCACTTACAACCAAAACACTTACGGATCCCATTTTTTTTGACAAGGTGGCACAAAAATAATGTCGTTACTGCTTAGACTTTGTTGCTTTTTCCATATTTCTCAAAAAACATAATGGGTTTCGAAAAAAAACAGATAACTATTTCAAAAAGTTCCACAGGCCGTCTGGCGCCGTTGAGGAAACCGGCTACGTAATTCACGCTGAGTTAACCACAATAACCCTGAAGTTAGTTTGCAAATGTATTTAGCTGATTTTTTCTCCGGCCTATTCTGCTTGTTACCGTACATTTTGACACCACCAGATTAAACATTTGAAAGGCTTTTAATTAAAATTGATGAAAAATTAAAGTTTCCTTGATTCTTCATATTGATTGAGATGATAATGGGTAGATCCAATACTAGCGTCAAAATAGGTCGCCGCGTTATGCTGCCCATAATCCTAGTGGGTGCGCCATTTTTCGTGTTGCAGAATGACGTGGGTCAAGTTTCGACTTTCTGCCGGAAATTATTTTTTAAAACGTAATACCTCGATTCTACATATCACCAAAGTGTTTTAATTCAATGTTCATAATTTTTTATATTGGCGGGTTAGTTTTTGGCAAATTTATTGTTTATCGTTAGTGGAATAATAAAAATTTTCTTAATATATATTTATCTCGACTCCAGTGTCAGCTAATTTCTTTACTAAGAAAAAAAAGACATCAAAAGAATAAACACTTTTATAAATAGCAAATGCTATAAGCTTGACCAGAAAATATAACGTATCACACCCAAACATACTAACAAAGCTAATCTGTTTGCGGTCATGTTGTTCGTAATCCCACTGTTTTGTTACCGACGACAATCAATGTGATAGTGAAAAAAAGGCGAGAACTTTAACACATTAACCCACATTTGCTTTCGTCATCTTACTAAAACAGCTGATTTGCGCTTACAACAATTTCGGTACTCTCACCAACTGTCCAGCTCATGCTCAGGTTCTCTTTCTTGCTCTGTCTCTCTCTCTCTGTTTTATGGGATCTTTAGTGCGCATGTCTCTCTCGCCGATGCGAGAAATGCTCTTTATCTATGTACGATTTGCTAACAGCTGATTTATTTAACGTCCGTGGATATGTAGGTACACAGCTGGAGTTACTTAGAGAAACGTGACAATTTCCATGACTTTTGTCTGCAGCTGGGTATGACTTCAATTATGTTTTGCCGCCATTCCCAATCGCATTTGACTTCCCGTAAATCTGACTTAGTAAGGGTAATTTTGTTTGCTGTATTTATTTCAGTTTTTAACATGTTTGTTGGCTATTTTATATTTGGAACTTATTTTTTTTTTTACTTTTCAAGAGGTCAACCTATGAAGAATAAGTTCCAAAATGGTTGGAACAAATAGCGTTGAATGGAAGCGATAGTGAGGACAATTTGGAAGAAGATTTCAGTTAATGGACCTTATGAATAAAAATTAAGCAGTTGCTTTTTCTTAAGATTTCAAACCTTTTGCTTGATTTTGTCAAATACATAAATTTACGTAAAATGTCTGAAATTTTAAGAATAATTAATTGCTTAATTTGTGTTCATAAGGCCCAATGTGATACAAAAAAGTCGATTTCATTTGTAAGTACAAGACACAATAGAGAAGATAGACAATTAATTCCTTGTGTGAGGGTAAATACGAATACCTTTAAGATAATTTATGGACTTTTTGAATTCGTTCGCTTTAAATTTTTTTTTTTTAATTTTTTAAAATGGCCCCTTTCAAAAAGGTGATAAAATATGTATATGTTTTCTATATGAAGTATTTTTATTAATATTAAAAAATTTTTTAATTTTTTTTATTTTTTTTTTATTTAAAAATATGTTTAAGCCCATTTTTCAAATAAATCTAAGGTTATAAAAAGACAAAATTTGTACTTTTTTCAAAGTAGCGTCACAGGCGAACGTTAGTGTTAAAGGAATAAGAAATAAGGTTAGTATTCTAGGTTTAAATAAGTGTGTCATATAATCTAAATCCATATGTATGTTTGTATGTATTTACATAATACTGTATATTAAAAATGTAAATATATAGCTATTTTGCCTTTCTGCGCATTGCTCTAAAATCTTTGGGGGCTACCAATATACATATATTTTTATACAATGCACGATCCCTATAAAGATACATGAGTGGAAGATCGACCTATCTCGGCAGCCAGTTCAAACACGCCCTATGTCAGAAAACTTTTGAAGAACGCCCTACTTCACAATTTGATTGAAGAATGCCCTATATCAGCTGCCGATTCAGCACATTTTTAATATATTTTCCGCTGAGAGAGGGTATTTTTGAACCAAATTTTGAGATAGGCCGTTCTTCAAACAAATTCTGAGCGAGGGAATGCACAATTAAGTGGTAGATATTTTCGCCAGAAAATGGACTGTAGAGGGGTTGGGATGCCTTAACCCTTTAAGGTTTTACCACACAAAAAGGGGAACTCTTTACTACTCTTGGTATGAAAAAGGAAATAATTAAAGCTTTTTACTGGCTACTGTGGAATAAAACGAATCACTTGTAAAACTGAATTTTTTTTTCTAATAATTGCGGGTTGTTTCAATAAGAACAAGTGAGAGCAAAGCTAATTATGTTTAGCTGTAAATGCCTTGGAATGACCCAATCGCATATCAGCCTACCATAATTTTATTCAACGAAGTGAACTTGTTTCGTAGCGACATGTATTACCAAACAGAGGTCTTCCCCAATAAATCGTACTTGCCCGCGGTAAATAAATACATAGATGATCTGCTCCCTCCTCTTCATGTTTGACTCATCTAATCTACACAAAAGTATTTCATGTATCCCAGAGTTATGAATAAAAAAAATTGCATGCGATATAAATAATACCATGAAAGAAATTTTATTTGTTTGCTTAAAAATTTTAGCGAATACCAGAAGCCGCTCTTTGCTCCTCATATTTTGCTATAATTCTTTTCCTCTAACAGCCGAAACTCTCCAGCCATAAAAAGGGAAGCTGTAATGGAAATGTAATTTATCTCGTTACTTTTTCTCAACAATCTAGTCACAAATGATAATAATGTGTATGTGACTGCAAATTTTTTTTGCGCACTGAGATCAATTGACTGACAAATTGCAGATGAAAGAAATGAAGTTTTTGAAAGGCAATAAATATGTTATGCTATAAAATTAGTTTATGCTAAATATTAAGAGCAGCAGCCAGGATTATGACACAACAACATCACTTTACTTTTTGCCAGTTATTAATGATTTCGTACATTTGTGCACACTCTACCATCCTGCTCCTTCGCGCCCTTGCGCGCTCTCTCTCTCTTTTCGCACGCCTGCTCCCTGAGCACCCGTGACCTTTAGCGTTTTATTTTTATTTTATTTTTTTGTTTTGCGGACGCTACTTTCATATTTCGTCGCTCCCGTGCGTAAACTAATCATTACGCTCATCAGCTCAACTACTCGTTGCTGTCAACGCCATTACATTTGCCGTTGTCGCTCTGTGCGTCCATCCTGCAACGCCTGCTTGCCAAAAAGTTTTCGAGTGCCGCCTTTGAGACTGCCCTTCGTACATATTCGCCTGCTGCCCATTCGTTCGTTGTGTATCTACGCTCACGCGTATCTATCGTCAAGTCGCGCTCGTTACTTTTGCGGCAATCGTGGTCACATTTGCTTACAGTTAGCTATCTGCTATCGTTGCGGTGCGGTGTTGTATGTCATTGCTTGTCGACAACGGTGTTTCGCACGCATCAACAATACGCTAATCAGTTAGTGTTCGACCGTTCGCGTGACGGGTTTTTCTGAGCGCATTGTAAACGGCGAGTAAATTAGTGAAGTAGCAGCGCAGCAAAGCGCTGAGCTTAGCATTGTGTTAAGTGAAGGGAAGCAAAAGAAAGCTGCGACGTGCATTGGGTGTCGACTTTTGTGGTTGAACTAGTTGATCATCCAGAGATTTGGTATAAAAGAGTTAAAAAGAATAAAATGCAAATGTTAGGCAGTTACTTCTGCCATTTTTTAGATAATTTATAAAGCTTCAGAGGCGGCAAATACATAGTGGCAACATACTAAGTAGTGAAAAATAAAAATACCAAAAAAAGAAAGTATTTTCGTGACTTGTGTTTCGTCGCTGTCCAAAGTGAAAATTAATTGCCCTTCTTAGCAAAAATGAAGTGAATAAAACTACAATATTAACAGCATCAAAACTTGAATACAACAACAGCAAACTTGCAAACGAAGCAGTCAAGTGTGTGCTGTGCATAAATATAAATAAGTAGCACATATGGATAAATCTCCTGTTTCCTGCGGAAGTCATTACGTTTGTGATTGTGTTGGCGAATGCGAAAGACGAAAGTGAGTGTGCTTGTTACATTACTAAGTACATATATACATACATATGTATCAACTGTAAGTGTATATCGAAGAATGTACACATAAAAATATTTTATATGAAATCATTGTTGTGTAGTCCTATCGTCCTATCCGTATCCGATATGTATGTATGTGCATGCAATGTCTGCGACTTGCGTTGCTATACACATTTAAAGTGGCGCCCGTGGCGTATGAACAACATTTTATATGCTATTTGATTTGCACGATATGCATTCACATAAATGTATGTATGGATTTACTTTACATGCGTATGGATGTGTGTATGTAAATTTGTAAAGCTTATGCTTAAACACGTGTGTGTGTGTGTTGCTTGTGATTTTATTTATTTTGTTGCTACACACTGCTTGAAATTCTGCATTCCCTTGTTTCTACTCTGCTTTTCTTTTTTCACGTTCACTGCAATATTTGTTCTATTTTTTCAATTTGACAAGAAATTTACTTAGCTTTTGTTATTTTATTGTTAGACGCATTCTGCGTCTGCTGCCTTAAAGCAATCGCTTAGAGTGCTGATTAAATAAACTGCCAGTCATTCTGTCTGTCAGTTGGGCTGCTGAACGATGTGTATACCAGAGAAATTATTAAAAGTGAGGCTTGCTGGCGCTTAGGTGACTTTTAGGCTTAGCTAAAAATTGGGTGATTCTTTATTTTTTTTCCAAAGTTTATTTTTTTTTTAATTTTTTTCATTACGATTTTTGGTTTTTGGGCGAACTGATTTACTGAAATTTCCTTTAAAACTGGATTTTCCTTAAGATTTGTTGTGTTTTATTACTACTTTTAACAAAATAATCTCTTTATTATTTTTTGTATTTTCTTTTGATGGAAAGTCTAAGTCTAGTTTACTCAATCACCTAAGGGTGCCCTAGCAAACTCAACTGTAGAGCATTTTAATTAATGTCCCATACAATATTAAAAGGACTCTTATCTTTAAATGCAGGTATACCAATTTGGTGTAAACCCTCATGCGATCCTAAAAAAAATCCATTTATCACCATTACTTTTCATTACATAAAGTAAGATAAAACCGTCGGGAAAATCGAAAGTTTTGAAATGACAAAAAAAAACACCGAAACACGTGAACTTGACTATAAATCGTAGATTACGTATACGTGTTCTTTTTTCCCAGAACAGGTAATTTTCCCAAAATATTCTTATTTTTATGAAAAAAGAATTTAATTTTAATACGAACAAATTACACAATTAACAGATTTTTTGTAAGTTATTTTTATTTGTGATATAGCCTGTTCTTTTACAAAAAAAAAGAAACAAACTGCCAACGAAGAAAAGTGCCAGTGGATTTGGGTGATTACGCAGTTTTATTTTATTCTTTTCTCCAGCGGCGTGAACCGGATGAAAAATTTGGTCATTCGGTTCAGCGGTTCGAACCGTTTTTGCACGTTTGGATTGGTTCCTCAAAGCGGTTTTTGGTCTTTGAACCGGGGTTTCAGATCGGTTCAACGGTTTGGAAAAAAAATAATGCACAAGTTTATGCGTCAAGTGTCAAGTGCAACAACGCGCAAGGATAAGTGTTAAGTTTCTGTCATAGATGGGTTGCTCTAAGATTTGATATTGCCACAAACGTGGTATATATTATCAAATTTAACAAAAAGAAAAAACAGGGGGTCAATTTGTCTATTGAAAATTGGATGAAACGAACCTTTAATTAAACCTTTATTAAAAGTGGTTCGGTTTTCAGTTCGGATCAAATATTTGTGGAAAATTTTGGTTCGGTTAATGGTTCAGTTATTTTATAGAAAAAGCGGTTTTCCGGTTCAAAACCGGTTCACGTCCCTGCTATTCTCTATTGCTGTCGATTTTGTATTTTGTTTAATGTTTATCAATTTTTAATTAAAGTACCGTTAATTATATCTGTGTTCGTTATAGAATAGTAGCTTATGTCGAAAGGCTGGCTTTATTATAATGCGGCGTTCGCAGTATACGATTGCGAATGACTCACTGGCAACGAGCCGTTGAAGAACATTTGGCAAATAAATGTGCAAGAAATAGTTCCGATACAAGCAAGACGATATTTTTTAATTAAGTCTCATCAAAAAAGTCCTTGACGTTTAAATAATAAAGGAAATGCCGCATTATACTAAAGCCAGCTTCCCGACATAAGCTACTATTCCATACGAACACATACATATATATCAACTAAACACTACACAAATCCACATTTCAAGCTTTATAGAGAAATTAAAAAACAACTCTTTTATTAATAATTTTTAGAAAATAATTCAAGTATTCAGTTTTCTTATTTCTAGTAATAATGTGCAATTATGAAGAGGCTAAGAGTTCAGTCTCTTTTTTTGATATTTTTTTGCCGACGCTGTTTTTTATTTTCTCCCATACAAAAAAAAAATATCGAATATAACTTTGTTTGGCAGAAAATGCGAACGCCGTCAACGGTATTTTTAGATACTTCAAATAAGAAAATCGTCGCTGTGTAACTTGTTTAACTTTTCCAAATTTCGTACAAAGTTAGAAATGAGGATTTACATGGCTTTTGTTGGACCGTATCATTTTGTCGCGGTGTGTACAACAGGTACACATAGTACTAGGAATAATCTAAGTTTATTGAAGAAATACTGCACTGGAATATATTTTTTTTTATTAAGATACTGTGAAACGGAAATTTTTCACAGTAATGTACAGTTTTCTTTAAACATACTCTTACATGGCGTATGAGTAACATTTTCCATGTTAAACTTTGAATTACTATTTTTTCATTCACAATGCAAAATTAAAATGAAAACAGCTTCGGAGAATTACCTGAAGGTCAATTCCCGTTCTGCGTTATCGTGAAGTGATAAAAATAGCACGTTTACACCGCATTTATTTCGGAGTTAATTTTATACTTTTCACTTCACTTCACGATAACGCAGAACGGGAATTGACCCTCTGATCTAGAAAAACGGTATGCTAGCTACGACCAAAAACGACAAACTATTTTTTATTTTCCCTTTTATTTCAACATAGATTGATTAAAAGAAAATACTGACAAAAATAAAAGATTTCACACAAACAGGGTTGAAATTTTGAAATTTTTGCCCGTATTTTGGCTGTAAGTTGTAAGTTAGTATTGAATTATTAAAAGTGTTTAAAACAATGTTTAAAATACGTAAATTAAAACATTTGCCAAAACTTTGCTCAAAACATGTTTTTCTATTTTTTGAATAAAACGCGATGTTTTTGTCTTTAAGTAAAAAAAAAAAACATGTTTTTTCCAACCCTGATAGTACCAATCTTTTAACTACAAAAAAAAACCCAATCTTTTTATTTTGTACCAATAGCCCAATATAAAAATGAGCTAATCTGTACAAATGTACCAATTGAGTGACACTGCCTTAAAAATGTATGCAATTTAAAAAAAAAAATATTCAACAAATTTTCGTAAAAATTTCGAGTTTTTAATTACATTTTGGGTATGCAGTTTTGTAGCCCATTGAATTCTAGTAGAATAAAATACAAGTTTCAAATGGCTCAAAATTACGGTTGATTTTATAGATTTTTTAAAAAAGATCGAGATTTATACGAAAGTTGTTGAATTTTATTTTAAATATTGCACAAAGTTGGAAACATGGATTTACACGGGTTTTGCTAAAGAATGAACTATGTTCTTATAAAAAAATAACCAAAATTTAGTAACAGTAAAAGTAACCCCTATAACGTTTAAATCTGTAACACTAACATGCCTATGAGTAAGATTGCCATCTGTTTGTAAGCTGTGATGATAGATTTATGTAAGTTAAATAAAATAATAAAGTACGATGATGCCTAAAGAAAGGTTTTTGAACTTGAACTTTAACTTGCAAATATTTTAAGATAGGGTTGCCATTTATGCAAACCAAAAAATTAAAGATTAAAAAAGCTCTCTTGGAACAGAAAAATTACATTCCCTTAGGGATATTAATATTTTTTGACGTGTCGCCAACGATGTAAAGATAAAAAAACTGTTCCAAAAGCAATCAACCATTCAACAACCGTAGCTGACTATTTGACTGACTTTCAATGTTTTTGCAATGTCTCACATCGTGTGAAGTAGGACTGTCTTGTCGTTATTAAACTCAATGGGTCTTCCTGTCTGTGGAGCATATTTTAAATCAAAACTTATCATTCTATAGAATGATGCGTGCTCTCCTAAGTTAAAGCATAAACAGACGGCAGCGTTGATCCGGATCAACTCGGGAATTAACTGCAGTTGATCCGGATTAAGTCCGAGTTAATCCGGATTAACGCTGCCGCCTGTTTAAGCTTTTAGATAAATTCTCGAAAAGGCTCTTTTTCAAGGTGTTGGCAAATGCTAATACAACTGAACCCCGCATATAAATTTACATTTTTCGCGGCTAGCCTTCTTGTATTCGAAAATAACTGACCACCTTGAAAAAAATTGTCCGCCTATAAAAGTAAGCATAAAGTTTAAATTTAGATTTTTTCCTATCAGGGAACCCTAGTACTTAGTATTATCTACGATAAAAAGCAAAAAGCGACGTTCGCTGTTTTTTGCCAAACAGGAAGTTCCTACAATCTTCCTTCATTTCTTTAGTTTCCTTTCATTTTATCTATATCTATGCCTGTACTCATACAGTGAAATTTTCCATAGTACCTAAAGGCCAGTACGCAGCTCTCAAGAAAACGGTAAAGAAAAAAATTGCCATTATTTCGTGTGTGTGTCCAAGGAATTTTGACATCTGATACTTCAGTGTCTGTTGCCTCACTCTTTCCTCAAGAAATAACGGAACGGGCACATACATATATATTTCTGTTGTAAACATCGGTTGCCTTAAGCTATTTTTTCACCAAAACACTTTAGAAAACCGTAGTAGACAGCGTAGCAAATTACTTAAGAACTGCGCACTGCCTTAGGGCCTGATTCCAGCTCTCAAGGAAAACAAAAAATTTCTATAAAATTACGCACAAGGAATTCTAAATAAATTTTTTTCTAACAAAATATCTGAAATCAG